TAGCCCAAACAGTTGGAGACACAGCAAAATGGACGATAATTATTATGGATTATACTGGCCATATGAATTATGAAATAACTGTTCTTGGTTTTGCAACCGAAAGTTAAACAGCGGCTCACTTCAATCAGAGGAGAAGCAAGGCGGAGATATAACCAGATTACAACCGGTACCATTTGTAATGGAATTCTGCGCTGGCTGCTGAAGATGGGGACTGAGCGGGCCTAGGAATGCCATAGGTGCTGTGATGTCAATTCTTGACTCAACTCAACTCAGTTAAACATGCAGTTACCGATATGTGGCCACCAAAAAGGAATGGCATAGCTTCTATCGTATCCTTAGTATCATAGAAGAAACGGGCACACAAAACTGTAAAGATTGCGTGTTAAATGTGATGCCAATAAATAACTGTTCAGATGTGACTAAATTAGATCTAGTGTGTTCTCTCCTGCCAACCTGCTCTACCCATTACACAATAGGGTGGCGCTTCCCACAGTGGGCGCTACGTCTCCTTGGGGCAGTTGAGACAGCCTGAGAATTGGGGTGGGGGGGGGGGGTGGGACTTTAGCTCTCTTGAAAATAGTTGGGAGCCCCTGCTGCAGTACAGGGTGTGGTGGAGTCTCATAAGCAGTTGGAGGGCACTGAATACAAATAACGTAGAGGTAGACAGAGGAGAGAGAGAGTCAAAGAGAGGGAGAGAGAGAGAGAGAGAGAGAGAGAGAGAGAGAGAAAGAGAGAAAGAGAGAAAGAGAGAGAGAGAGAGAGAACGAACGAACGAACAAAGGAACGAAATTTTTTTTCAAATTTTCACAAATTGGGCACGCAGGCCCATCTTTCATATGCCCTTCCAAGCTCCCATCTTTCACACAGCAGTTGCATTTCATCAACAAAACTCCCATGCACACGCCCACTCACTCGCACACACATGCATACACAGCCACATACATAAACACATACATATTACATACACAAACACATGCGTCACACATATACACGAATACATCCATCCATACATACATACATACATACATACATACATACATACATACATACATACATACATACATACATACATACCTACATACATACATACATACATACATACATACATACATACATACATACATACATACATACATACATACATACATACATACATACATACATACATACATACATACATACATACATACATACATACATACATACATACATACATACATACATACATACATACATACATACATACATACATACATACATACATACATACATACATACATACATACATACATACATACATACATACATACATACATACATACATACACACACACACACACACACAAACATACACACACACACCACATACACACACACACATACATACATACATACATACATACATACATACATACATACATACATACATACATACATACATACATACATACATACATACATACATACATACATACATACATACATACATACATACATACATACATACATACATACATACATACATACATACATACATACATACATACATACATACATACATACATACATACATACATACATACATACATACATACATACATACATACATACATACATACATACATACATACATACATACATACATACATACTACTTATTTCCTGTGTAGGTTCTGAGTCCTATTAGAGAGAGAGAGAGAGAGAGAGAGAGAGAGAGAGAGAGAGAGAGAAAGAGAGAGAGAGAGAGAGACAGACAGACAGACAGACAGACAGACAGACAGACAGACAGACAGACAGACAGACAGACAGACAGACAGACAGACAGACAGACAGACAGACAGACAGACAGACAGACAGACAGACAGACAGACAGACAGACAGACAGACAGACAGGGACATACAGAGAAAGACAGACAGAGAGAGAAAGACAGAGAGAGGCAGACAGACAGACAGACAGAGAAAGAAAGACATACAGAGAGAGAGAAAGGCAGAGAGAGACACTGAGAGAGAGAAAGACAGAGAGAGAGAGAGAGAGAGAGAGAGAGAGAGAGAGAGAGAGAGAGAGAGAGAGAGAGAGAGAGAGAGAGAGAGAGAGAAGGGGGTGGGGCTGTGCAGAGAATAGAGCATCTGCTTATATACCTAACAAGCATATCGTAATAGTTGACTAATCAACAGTTTGCTGAAATCAGGCGTCTTTTTTTTCACATCCTCTTTTACCGCTGTGGGTGTCGAGGGAGATATAAGGTTCTGTCTCTAGCTTTTCTGGCCGCCTCGACCATAGGCACACCGTGCTGTTGTAGAGTTTCTCTGATGTTATCCTTCCATATTGTTCTTGGTCTACCTCGGGCTCTACGTCCTTCTTCTCTTTCCATGCATTCTTTGTATGGTATGGTGTCACGAGGCATTCTCTCTAAGTGGGCAAACCATTTTACATGCTGTCTTCGTATGTAATTTAGAATTACACATCAGGCGTGATGGGCCAAAATGTGCTGATAATAATGTGTCTAACGACAACTTGCATTCAGGAGACGGCAAAATATTTTTTGTTCTTCTAAACTTTGTCTCCCACCAACAGTTCTCTTTGAAATTAAATAGATATCTTTGGCGTTTGAAAGCGCGTTTGAAAGCTCTGAGGCAAGTAGGCCTGCACGAAGTCCCTTGCAGCCTACAGGAGCTGATTAGCTTGTTTCATTTCTAGAAATACCGCAGTGGTCTAGTGTGTACTGCAGGACTACTTACGTTCATGCCGACAGCATTCACATGTTTACGTTATTGCATAGATGATGGTAAAAATCAAGAGCTGTGAACGTGGAAGAGATATTAATTAGTTAAATTAGGCTATGGAGACATTACATAGTTGAAAGCATGACTGGTGCTTCCATTTTCACTAACAAAGAATGTGGCTGCTGCCATCGTCTGCTCCTCATTCAACTCTGGCTTCCATTAAAAAGCTTCAATTTTTTATATTTATTTAGACGTGATCAGTTTTATTCTGCACCATTTTATTTGGCGAATGCTAGCTTAGTTTGCGACTGTCCTTATGAGCAAAGATAGACGCCCCCCCCCCCCCCATCCCTCCCTTACCCCCAACTCCTAATTACACCTCCTATTTACTATATCAGACTAAATGCAGAATTTGGCTAGTCTTTCACCAATTTAATTCGTTATGTCATTTCCTTTACTGGTTCTTAGCTCTCTCAACCCTTATAATTTTACTTATAGTTTCTGGTCGAAGTTCAACACTTAATGGAAAGTCGTGAAAAAAAAACCAGTCAGTTATTAGTACCATCAGAATAGCAACTCTTCGCTTGCTGCTGAAGATGGGGACGGGTCGCTTGATGGAGTGTCCCAAATGCTATGATGTCGATTCTTGATTCAAAATTCAAAATTCGCCACTTTTTGTCTAACTTTATACCATCGCATTGAAATCTCACATCACAACTCCTGGGTAATATTTTGTAGTGCTATCTACTTTATTCTGCTAGGGCTTATAGTCAAAATCTTAGTTTTCAGGTTTTGCGTCACAAGTTTTTGCATAACATCAACAAATGGTCATTATGACATATCTGTTGTTAAATCGTTTGTGCCTTGGGTTTTGCGAACCCGCTTCGTAATGCCGGGTTGCCGGGTTCGATCCCAGTTGCAGACTGTGTGTCTTGCATTGGGTTCGACAGTGGTACAGAGAGCTGACCGTTGAGAAGCAATGGCAAACTACTGAACGTAAAATTTGCCTAGAAAAAACACAATAGCCAAAAAATCCTGGGGTTAGTTTTTGCGAGGTCCTATAAAGGATACGAAACTAACTTAGAGTTGTTTAATCTGGCACAAATAACAACATCACAAACGGCACAAATAATAAATTGCACAAATGATTGTATGGTTAACTTCGCAGTTTCTCGTTAGGCGCACACAGTTAGTTCTTTGCATGTCCCTTACATGAATTTGTGTTTGTTTTTTGTTTGTTTTTAAAGCTGTTGTGATTTGTCAATGCATTTTTTCGCAATTGCCTCTGCACGGTCGTCTGTCGATGCATCTGTCAATACCTACCCAAGGATGTATAATGTCTGTAGCTGGGACTGAACCTGCACTCCCCACCCCCACCCTCACCCAACCCCCGCTACGTTATGAAGCCCCTTCGCAACGTCTTAGCCACAGATAGAGACACATTTGAGGAGGTGCGGACAATGTAAAACAAATAAATTAATCGTTTACATGCGAACTTGCAAAATTTACCACGCTTAAAAAAACCCGTCCGTTTTAGCAGAAGTTTAGCTTATATAAGTGGGGAACAGAAAAAAAAAAGGGGGGGGGGGTGGTGGGAATGGGGTGGGTTTATGGTGTACTTCACATCTTTTTGTTCCAACAATTATGAATGGAGGTGACTAATTATAAATAATTGTTTTCTTTCACAGAAACAAGAATACATTTTAGATATATTTTGGTTTTTCCGGGAATAGACGGAGAAAAAAAAAGCAAGGGTTGACAAGGATATACACTCCTGCACACATATTTTTACAGACCAGGCACCATACTGGTTGTGTGAGACATGAACAATATGCTGATCTGTGACTCCGGTGATCGTATGAGTTGGCAAGGCATAACCACCTTCCCTATGTCAGCATGGCACATCAATATGGTCACAGTGATGACGAGTTCAGTCGAGGGGAGAGGTAACATATAACAAGATTTATTCTGCATATAACAACTCCATACACACAAGTGCATCTTGCCAGAAGGCGGGTTTACCGATGTGTTAGCATTCTAAGTGTGAATAGACACAGTTTAACACAGTGTTTCTCAAATTTTCTTAGTCACGGCGCCTTTTTTCGATTAACATGTTTTCACGGCTCTCCAACCTAAGTAAAAGTATGGCTATTAGTATGTGAGAAAAACAAAATATAAAACTCGTGGATCTTCAAATATTTCGCGTCGCCCCTGTGAAGAGGTCGCGGCTCCCCAGGGCGCCGCGGGGCACAGTTTTAGAATCACTGGTATAGCATATTATTTCTCACTTACTGAGTTCGTAGGTTTCATAACTTTTTTCTCAAAGCAAGGGAATATTTCACGAAATGTTTGATTGTACTTGGAACTCATCTTAAGATACAAGAAAATATTTACACTTGAATTGGTCGTCTCAAACAACATAGCAAAAGACCATAACACGTAATACCAGTTGTAATATTTTCCTCCTGGACTAAATTCAGGTTCCAAGACTGTAACGACACCTAACATTGTAGACGGAGCATAGCAAATGATTAAAATACTGACAATTAAAACAACCATTCGCATTGTTGCCCTGTCTCTCTTAGATAACGATCCAGCTTTCTCCTTCTGAGCATTTGCTGTTTTGACCCATGCACTTTTCTCTCTTAATTTTGCAATCAAGATCGCCGCCAAAATAATCACAGCGATGAAAGAAAGCAAGCCGGATATAGCGAGCATACTATAAACTATAGCACTAGCTGCTTGGTTTTCAGTATATGCTATTAATCCTATTCGAGTTTGATTCCATTCGGGATAGAACTTCCATCCAAGATAACTAGAGGTGTAAAGAGGTACGAATGAACACACTGTTAAAAGGTATATCAAAACAATTATTGCCGTTGTTCTTCTTGTGGTAATAATTTGTTTGATGTGTAAAGGAAAAGCCACGCACAGACATCTTTCCGCTGTAATATACACAGTTATGAGACAGGTGATTTTAGAAAAGATTCCACGTTGCACCCCGATTGTAAGATGTTGCACATCAGCGAACTGTACAGGCAGATCGTCGAAAAGTGGACTGACGTAGAAATTAAAAAGTTGCTGGAAAAACGAACAGCACAAATCCGACAGTGCAAGTGCAAAAAAGCTGATGTTAATAGTTGAATTCAGACCTTGTCTGTAAAATATGACCAGGTTTATCAAGTTTGATATAATTCCAAACAGACTAATAAATCTGCATAGAAATGTGTAGTTCACCAGTGTGATCACTTCTCTTTCGTTATCGCTAATAAATATTCCGAGATGGTCGACTTGTTCGTAAGTTTCACTTTTTACGGGCACTGATGTCATCTCACACAAAGTAGCCATTCTGAAATAACATCAAAAATGCAGTTTTACCGTTTAAAACTATGAAGCCAAAAAAAAATGAATCTTCTGCAATCGAAACTCGAAATCAACCATCTCTAATACATCAAACTACTGGACGTAAATTCGCCAAGAGAAACTACACAATAGCCAGGGGCTGTTAGGGTTGGTTCTGCAACGTCCTGTAAAGGATACGCAACTAACCAATACATCGCTGTTGTATAGTGTGTAATAATCAATTTTCTTTCAGCAACTCACTTTGTGATGAGCAACAAAACCTTTATGAAGATTTTATGTTAAAATCCAGCCACTGGTCTCTTTCACAGATAAAATAAAACCCTGCTCAAAAGTCATGTTTCGCCATCTCACATAATCACGAAAATCTCGGATCAGTTCAATGTTCTTGTCTCGCCCCATCCATCTGTTCAGGCCATCGAGTTTTTTTTAAATCTTTGCCTTCCTCTTGCCTCTCTTTCTATCAATCGTGTCAGTTGTTGTCAAGTTCTCCAGTGGATTTCTTCTCATAAAATGTACGACAATTAAAAAAAAAAAAAAAAAAATCAAAGTCTAATTATTCTAATAAGTTTACGAATTTTATCCTTTTTCGATGAGGACTACTTCGTTTGTTTTTCTATCCTTCCTTGTTATTCCTTGCATTCTTTTCAGAAACCACATATCTTCTGCAAGTAAATGTTTTTCAGCATTTGTTTTTTTTTTTACTTTTGTTTAAAACTTAAATTCCAATTGTTTCATATGTGTATAACAACAAAAGTTCTATATAGCACTTTAACATTCTTTTTTTCACTGCAACACAAAATTTTTTGTTAGTGAGAATCTTTTGCATCTTACAAAAGACCACTTTTTAATACCTACTCGAGAGAGAGACGAATGTTTGAAGTTTACAAACTTACAACAGAGGTTGTTCAATGTGATTGCCGTTTGCTACTCGGCAAACATTTAAGTGGTAGAAGAACACACCCCACACACGCAGAAGTATCTTTTGGGTAACTGAGTTCACTGCAGCTGTATTACATTTCTGCAGGCTATGCAACTGCGCTCTATCGAAACTATTCAAAAGGTATTCCCTTCTCTCTAGTAAGCATATTTTTCATATTCGATGTAGATTCAAGGAAATATCCAATGAATGAAAGTTATCCATCTTTTTTGGATCAACATTTATGTCAGTAGAAATAACAATAATAATAGTAATAAAAATAATAATATTAATAATAATAATAACAGTAATAATATTAATAATAATAATAGTACCTGCATTCCACTGTGTTTGTAACAGTTTCGCCCCATCTATAATAACAGGCCATTAATAGATGCGAAAGTGACCTAAAAGTGCTGTAGATTATTTTGAACTGTTCCCATTGAACGAAGTCGGCTTGTTCTAATATCCAGCTTCTATTTCCTCTCTGTCATTGAAAGTGTAAGGGCTACGGGTTTGACTAGAAAAATACAAATTAAGAATGAAGTCTGAAAAAAAAAAATTGTTGCCGCAATGCTAGTACAGTAAAACCTTATTAACATGAACTCGGATAAAGCGATCATGAACAAAATATTGGTTCCTAGCATTGTCTGAGAGTCGAAAGTTAGCGTAATGTCATTTTAACACGAATTCTTCACTTTTCTGTCCTTTGAATTTGCCGTAATGGGGTTTAACTGTACTAAATTTGACACGGGTTAGTTGCCTATTATTTACAGGACGGCACAGAAGCAACCCAGAATGTTTGGCTCTTGTGGTTTCTCTAGACCCATTTACGTTTACTAGTTTGCCATCTGTCCACTGGAAAGACAACAGCCGACAGTGTCTTAGTGACAGGGGACTGGAATGGATTAAAGCAATAATGAAAACTGCAGACATTCTAGCGATCTATCTGGCAAATATCTAGATTTTGGGATAAAAGAGGATTGACTGAGGGAGTAAGTAAGCCCATTACCGGTACACCTGACGAAACCAAACCAGGCGGTCTGCTGAAAAGTGATACAAAGTAGCACAAAAACTGGTTTGCTTACTTAGAATTTATGATGTTATACCAGTGATGGATTTAGGCACTGCCTGACTAAGCTGCAGCCTAGAACCTTACAGTCTGTGGAGCCCTAAAGGCTTCTAATTTTTGTGTTGGAAAAATTCTTTTTTTTTTAAAGCTCTTTTCTTTTTAAAAAAAACTTCACGTGGGATTAAGTAATACCATTTCTGTGACTTGGCAGACACTTTCTTATTATTGAATAGGCGCCTTTGAGCTGAAATGCTATAGAAACATTCTCAGAATACCATGTACAAAGAAGACACAAAATACTGACATCTAAAAGCATCTGAACATCAATGAACATTGGCTAATACACAGCATCTTGTGTCGAAAGCTGAAATATTTGGTCACATCAAGATCCATGACTGATCGGAAATATAATAGCAGAAGACATGGTATCAGGAAGGAGGGGCAGGGGCCGACCAGCACAAAGATGGCCACATTGTATAAGTGGCACCTTGAACATGAAAGTACACGAGATGCTAGAGCTGGCGAGGGACCAGGGAGACTCGGATGAGAGCGAAAAGGACCTGCTACATGATGATGATGATGATGATGATGTTGATGTTCCTCTATTTTTTTTTAACCTAACAGTTAAAACACTGTATATTTCCGTCATCTGTGTATTTCAAAGGCGCATATATTTCAAAGTTTTCTGAGATAGGCTGGTGCCATTTTGAATAACATAGGGCTTCATCAAGTCCAAATCTGACCCAGTGTGATACCATACGGAGAATATAAAAAAGAGAGACGTGGATCCCGAGGTATACCACGAATAATATGAACAGACAAGATTAGAGAACCTCGGCAAAAGTACTGTGTTCGAAGAAAAGTAGTAAGTAAGTAAATTTTACCCCACTAGGACATCACACAGAGCGATAAACACCCGGTGACACAAAGTGCCACCATGCGTATGAGGAACCCGTTCTACCGTTAGGCTATATTGCGGCCCCTGACAAAAGGGTGGGGATTCAAAATAACTAAAAATTGCATCCCACATGGTGGCGACGCAGTTACTAACCAGAAGAGAGGGAATCCGAACCAATCATCTCCCTCGAAACTAGATGAGGTTGAAGAGAAAGTTAAATAGCAGGAGCCGATTCTGTCTTGTTACACTAGGCGTAATAATTGGAGCCGCCGTGGCCTAGCAGCCAAACGCTCGTGTACGGATCGGAAGGTCGCAAATTCGCTCCCTGACGTAGCCTGACTTTATTCACAAAAGATCTTGACTTCCAGGTCGACAAAGCCTTGAGTGGGTACCGGGTTCAGTTCGGGGAAGTAAAGGCGGTGATGCTGGCCACAGCACCCATCTTGTTCAGATTTTTCTTTAAAAAAATAGGCCCAGTCATATATGCCGTATACGCCTAAAGGCGTGGGAAAAAAGTGCTCAGTTTATTTGAGTCGGTGGCAAAGTAGTATAATTTATTTAAAAATGCTCCAGATTACCTTTGGCCATTGCTTATATATAATAAAAGACATAGCAAACCCCTAAACATACTACATATTCCAAAATGTCGGATAGTCTTACACAAAAACGTACTCCGCAGCTCATCTGTGGAACATGATTTGATTTGATTTGATTTGATTCAAGAACCGACATCACAGCACCCCATAAGCATTCCCATAAGCGCGGTGTCTCCATCTTCAGCAGCCAGCGAAGAGTTCCGATACTAATGGTGCCAGTAGCTTTCTGATTTAAATGTCCGTCTTGCCTTTCCTCTGAGCCTTGAGCTTCTGCCAGAACCTCTCGTCACCCCCAACTGCATCAATCTCACCAAACTGTGGTGCTCCATCTGCTCCTCCGCATTGTACACGCTCTTCCAATCTTTCACTGCCAGTCAAAAATGTCAGTAACCTCTACACTTACAGTCTGAATCTGCTCGAATATTTGCTCAGCACAGACTATAACAATGTGCACCCGTGAAAAGATAATAGCTTTAAACATATTATGCAGCCCCTCGCCCAACCACTTAGACTTACTATTCTTAGCATGATTAAATAGTGATATAAGTTGAGCATATCACAGAATTGTGATTAGGAATTAGATGCAGATGTGTATTATTTTTTATGCTAACTGATGTGTGAATGGAATATTGCACGTAAGTCGTGAGGCCAAAAAAACAAAATATATTAAAGGCCTGTCTGCCCAATTCTTAACCCTTTGACAAACAGGTTTGTTTCTTCGTTCGTTTGTTTGTTTCTGGTATAGAAATCGTCTCTTAAAAAAAAAAAAATATTGTCTTTATACATTTCACATTATTTAAAGTATATTTTATTTGTCGGCTTAGGCGTTGCGAATGCGCTTTCTAATGCCGGGTGCAGGATTCGATCCCAGCTGAGGACGATTTGTCTTCCATTGGTTTCGACAGTGGTACCGAGAACCAACCGTTCAGGGCAATGACAAACTACTGGACGTAAAAATGTACCTAGAAAAAACACCACAACAGTCAAAATGGCTGGGGTTGGTTGAAAAAGATACGGAACTAACTTTTAATTTTTTTTTCTATTCGGTACATTATTATTATTATTATTACTATCATTATTGCTATTAATTGTTTTTAGTCATTTTGACTAGGATTAGGACTTTGAAAGCTGCCCCAAACCCCCCAACCCGCCCCACGCCCCTATCTCTGCCTATCTTCTTTTTGATATGTTGAATGTAGCATTAAGAATCGACATCACAACACTTGGGACCTTTCCGTTAGTGCTCAGTCCCCATGTTCAGCAGCATGCGAAGAGTTCTAATTTCGATTGTACCAGTAACGGTCTGATTGTATATATGTCTCATCCTTCCCCTGAGTGTTGAGCGTCGGCCAGATCCCCAGGTAACTCCTCGCAGCGCCGTTCTCCTTAGACAGTAATGATCTATTTGCTCCTCCGCACTGTTTACTCTCTCCCAAAGGGCCTTCACTATATCTAACTTGTCATACATCAATTCACCACCAAGTGGTGCAGAGCCGCCAGTCT